AGCGTTATAAAGAGAAGCGTTATGAAGTGTATATGTAACGGAGGGAGGGTGGGCGGGGAGGGTTCCCTCTAATTCCTCCCACCTCTGCTCCTCTCCTCAGGATAAGGAAAAGAAGAAGAAGGAGAGTATTTTGGACCTCTCGAAATACATTGACAAAACAATCCGAGTGAAGTTCCAAGGCGGGAGAGAAGGTGAGCCCGTGCCGCGCTCAGGCGGGTGCCCCTTCAGCATGAAGCTGACTTGGCATTTTTGCCTTTTCCTTGCTCTTTGCTTGTCTTTTTTCTCCTGTGTGGTTGTGTTGCTTCCTTTCAAGGAAGGACGATGAGGAGTGGGTGCTTTCGTTTGTTCCTGTCTGCTGTCACTGATGTGAAGCTTACTCCTTTAACTCTTCCATTATTCCCAGTGGCTGCAATTTTACTTTTATATTTCATCTGTGCACGTTTTTATCTTCTTTTATTAGTTGTCTTCAGCTGTCTTGTTTCTTCTGGCAGTTGTTTCCCGTTGTGAGGGTGTATTTAAAGCAGCAAAGAAACATGGGTGTTATGACTGATGCACTTGTCATCCTTTTTGGCTGTTTACATATTAAAACTTTCTGGAATTCATACATTGTTTCAATATATTTTGTCCTGTCTTTCCATCACTTTGGAGGCTCTCACGTCCCCCTTGGTTACTTGCAGCTGACAAGGCCACCCGCAGATGATTTGTTTGGCTGAAAGGTAAAGCCTGGCTGCGTGGTTGATGTGTGGCAGAAGCTTTTACAAATCAAACCTTTTTTTTTTTGGTTTAAAACAACCTTTTAAAAATGTACTGCGACCTGGTGTTTATAAGGTTTTGGAAGTTACTTGGACGCCTTTCTGAGAAGTGTGGGTTTTCATTTTTGGCTAATTGGCCATTCAATTGAATCTATTGCTTTAGATTTTCTTTTAAATTCATGCTAAATTCTTTATCTTCATCTAATGCCTGGGATTGTAAGAGTCTCTGAATTGGGCTGTTAGCAATGATAATATGTTGGTAATAAAAGAAGTATTTTTTTAAACTGGGAGATCATTGTGTGGTGTTGTGATTAGTCTTGTGAAGTAAAGTTTTGGTAGAAAGTGCTTGTCTGTCTTCAGGTCCTTCCTGTGAAGGCAATGCTTGTACTAAAGAGCTTATGTTTTCACAAGAAGAGTTTTCTGAGGAAAACACTTCAAAATATTACAGTTTTACTTCATTTTTTTGCTATGCTCCTTGTCTCAGGGCAATTTTTGGTTTTGGGCTTGGGTGTTGTTTGTGGGGTGACTTGTATTGATTAATGCTGAAGTATTCTTAAAATGCCCTGAAATTGATAGGAAACCAAAATGCTCTTGAAGAGCATTTTGAAAATGGGGTGAAAAACCTCTAAGTTTCACTTGGCACTGTATAAACTGGATCATTGTGCATTTGCACTTTGCTGAAGAGGGCACTGGTTCATGGCTCTGGTTTCATTGATAGCCTTGCTTGAAGGAGGGAAGAGAGCTGAAGAACTGAAGGTGTCCTTCACAGTGTTGCTCTGTTTGTGGTTGTAGTCTCTAATAACTGTTTTGTGTGTGGTCTTCAATAGCAAGTGGTGTCTTGAAAGGATTTGACCCTCTTCTGAACCTTGTGCTTGATGGTACCATTGAATATATGCGAGGTAAGTGACATGTTACCTCTGTACAATTTCACTCCTCTTTGATGGAATAACTTGAAACTGCATGCTAATATAATCTAGACCAAGACATGTTGGTAATAACTAAGTCCATAGAATCTGCTGAGTTGGGAGGGACCCATCAGGATCACGAGTCCAACTCCTGTCCCTGTGTACGGCACCCCGAGAATCATCCCATGTGCCTGAGAGCAACATCCAAAGGCTTCTTGAGCTCAGGCAGGCCTGGGGACCTTGTTCCAGTGCTCAACCACCCTCTGGGTGAAAAACCTTTTCCTGATATGCAACCTAAACCTCCCCTGATGCAGCTTCTGCCATTTCCCCCAGTCCTGTCACTGCTCACAGGAGTGAAGAGATCAGGACCTGCCCCATCTCTTCCCCTCCTGAGGAACCACAGACTGCAGTGAGGTCACCCCTCAGCCTCCTCTTCTCCAGGCTGAACAATCCCAGTGAGCTCAGCTGCTCCTCATAAGTCATCCCACCCAGACCCTTCCCCATCCTCATGGCTCTCCTCTGGACACTCTCCAATAGCTTGATGTCCTTTTTATGTTGTGGTGCCCAAAGTTGTAGAGAAAAGGATAAGAGGACAGAAGTTCTTTTAAGCATATTCCCTGTGGTAGATCATTTTTGGAAGTCCTTACTTGATCTCCTCTCTAATTTGATGCTTTTGTCTTATAAGGCTTGAAGAAAGTCATGTGCTTATCTTCAGATAAGGCCTTTGCCTTTGTTTATAGTGCTCCGGTATTGGCTCAAAGCAAGAATAACATCTCAGCAAGAACCATTATCTTGCTGCCTTAAACTCTGCCGTAAATGCAGTCTTTGCATTTCTGGTGAACTAAAGCATTCCATAGCATCTTGGGGCTAATAGAGCTGTAGGGTTTTTTCTTTTTTCAGCATATTCTGTGATTCTCTGATTCTATGAAATACTCCCATTTCCCTTTTTCTACCCCAAAACCAAATTTATCATTCAACAGGAAGGCATTTCTGAAGAGTATTGAGGAGTTTTTGAAGAGGAAGCACCTGAAACTTTAATGTTGCTCTTAGAAGGGGATTTCAAAAGATGTCATGCTTTTTTATCAAATGTACTGACATGTCAAGAAGGGTGGAATTGGCTGTTGTGGTGATAAGTGTTGGTCTCTTCTGTCCCCACTGACAGTATTGATGGGCTTGGTCTGGGAATGGAGCAGTGCATTCTGTACTTGGTGTGTGCTGAAGTCCTGCACTTTTCCTGGCTTACATTGATCTGAAAATGTTTGTCTATGATGGCATTTGAAGTGGGTTTAGGAGCTTTTTTTAATCAGTTGTGTGCCTTTTGCTGAGATGAGTGAGAGGATCTCTTTAAAAGACAATGTGTTCTGCTTTGCATACAAAGTGAATTTCTTTATTGCTTACTGTGGCATGTGCTGCTTTGAAAATGAATGTCTTGAACACATCAGGTTTTACTGCAGCATCATTTTTATAGTCCATGAGTTCAATAAAACAGTGCAGAGGTGCCTGGAAGAAACCTGCGTCTCTGTTGCCTTTTAAAGTTGATGGAATTTAGTTTCTTTTCCTCATGTTCCCTTTGTAACTGTGGATCTCTCTGTTTTTCAGATCCAGATGATCAATACAAATTAACAGAGGACACACGTCAGCTGGGACTTGTGGTCTGCAGAGGCACTTCTGTCGTTCTTATTTGTCCACAGGATGGAATGGAAGCTATTCCAAACCCTTTCATTCAGCAGCAGGATGGCTAGTACTTCTTTCCAATTCTCTCTGAAGACTTCAAGAGTGCAAATCAGCAGATAAACTCGGAGTGTGAAGAAGCTTCCTGTTTTGGCGGAGGACTTTGAATGTGTATTTGTTAGTGTGAAAGAACAGTCAACTTTTATTTTTGTGGCTTTTCATAAATACTAAAGGATGGGGCATGGTGTGTAGGAAGTAAATTCTGATTATTTCCCCCCTGCTCCCCCAAATAAATGTTTAACTACATTGTTTTGAGCTGACAGGAGAGAATATACTGCCAGGGAACTGTCCAAGACCCTCTTGATCTTTTGAGTTTTGAAACAACCACATCAAATTAGTAAAAATGCCGTGAACATTGGTTATATTGTTCACATTTTTAGCTGCATTAAAAAAGGTATTTAAAGCCTAGATACATTACAGCATGTTTTTCTTCTGGGCAGGTGTCAGTACTCAGCTGGGAAGCACTTTGTTGTAGCCTTCCTGCTGTAGAGTTTACTCTTTTCCTGCTTGCTCCTGCTTCAGTGCATGCAGCAAAATTGCTTCCCTTGTTTAGTACCTTGTCATCATCGCCTTTACAAGTTATATACAGCTAAGATATTTTCTAGCACTTGTTCCCAGTCTATTTATCAGAAGGTTCCCACATTTCTACAGAAGGACTGGACTGACTTCTAGGATGATTATTTGCTGAGTGACATGAACCCTACAGAAGTATCTTATTTGATACCTGGAATTTTAGGGAAAAATATTGAAGATCCTAATGTTCACTTGCAGGCAGTGTGTGGAAATACTGCGTATTTTTGATACTGTAGCTGTCCACTTGTGGTTGCTGCAACTTGATTTGTAAGTAAACATTTTTATTTCTTTTATACTGAAGAAATAGCAAAATTTGAGGAGTTTTGAATGAATAAATACAAATTAATTTCTTCCTAGATGTCTGGTTTTTAGTTTGAAAAAGTGGTCTTCAGCCGACATGGGAGTTCCTCATGGTTGCAAATGTAAATTAAATCTGTTCAGGAGGTGTGTAAACACAGCTAAACCAGGAGGGACCAGGTCAGATGTTGTGCTCCACTCTCAAGACAGGAAATTGATGTGAGATGTGTGAAAGCATCTGGTCCCTTTCTGAGGACTTGTGCATTTCTGTTCAGGACTTCAAAGATTGTGTGGTGGAGTGCTTGGAGGCTGTATGTGACCTGCTTCTGCCATCTGCTTTTCTTGAAGACCCTTTATGAAGAGGCTGTGGCAGAGTAAATGTTTTTGGTGGTGGCAGCAGCCTTGTTCCTGGAGCTTGTCAATAAAACTTGCCAAGGACAGGTTCTATTTGCTATTCATTTTGGCAGCAGCACTGGATTCCCATTCATAGTGTTCCCTGGGTCAGCTCTGAAATGGATGAGACCTTGATGTCAATCAATTCCAGTTCAGTGTATCTGACTGTTCCAGGAGGCCATGGAACTAGGGACCTGTTGTCTAGCATTTTTGTGCAAACTTGAATGCTTCTGGATTTTAATCCAGGTGTCCATCCTTTGCTTTTCAGAGCTGTGTGGAGAGTTGCACTCTTTCTAACATGATTTTTTCTAACACTAAGAAACTTTTTCTTCACACAACTGCACAATTCCAAAGAGACTCCTTAATTATGTTTGGAGCAGAATTTGGTCACTATCAGCCTGAGCAGTCTTGACCTTTTCCTCAGGTGGGAGAGAGACTGCTGTTTGCTGCAGTGGTGCTGCTGTGCAATCTCTGCACTTTTCTGAATGTGTTGTCAGAAACAGCTGGTGAAGTTCTTGAGTTGACTTCAGGCTCTAGATGCAGAAGGTGTAGAAAGATCTGCCTGAAAGCATGTGTCAAGTGCATCAAGGCTGGAGAGGGGCAGGTTCCTAGCATTTCCTGCTCAGTTAACAGGTTACTCAGTCCTCATTGCAAGATACATGACTGTCATTTTCTACAGTGCAGACTTCTGGGTTATATTTGGGAGTCAAGTACCTGAAGGTAATATGAAAATTATGGCTGAATTATGGCTGTTTTCCTAAATGTGACTTTATAAAACTGCTTGTAACAGCAGTTTTGCGAAGCCAATATTTGCCCCAGATACGCAGAAAGGAATATCTTTGTAGTTCTAGATAGTGATGTTCTGTGTGCTGAGCTCCACTGAGTAATGGGACTGAATCTTAGTGGGAAGGGTTCTTTGGTTAAAGGGTACTAGTTCAAGGTCACTGTTGTGGTTTATACCCAACATGACAACACAGGAATAGCCCTGTGGCCACTCACTCACCTCCCCCCCATGACACACACATGCTGGGATAAGGAGGACAAAGCTCAGGGGTTGAGATGAAGGACAAGGAGAATTCTTCACCAATTAGGGTCCCATGCAAAACAGACTCAACTTGGGGAAAAAATAATATAATTTTTCACTAATTAATGCCTGCAGGACACAGACACACCCAGAACAGGGCTCACACACCTCACCCCAACCCTCCCTTCTTCCCTGGCCCAAGTCATTTTGTTCCTGGTTTCTCTCCCTCCTTCCCCCAGTGTCACAAGGGGATGGGGTTTGGAGTCAGTTCACAGGCTGAAGGTTCCTGCTGCTCCTTCCTCTTCAGGAAGGAGGATTCCTCACAGTCCTGCCCTGCTTCCTAACAGGGTCCCTCGCATGGCAGAGTCCTCTACCAACCTCTCTGCCATGAGTCCTTCCCACCAGGCCTGGAGCTGCTCCAGTGCTGCCCGCAGAGTCACAGGCTGTTTGGGAACAGGCACCTTCCCTGGCCTGGGGGCTTCCACGGCTGCACCATCCAAGGTCATGGGCAGCAAATCCGAGTCCACTGGCCAAGTTAAACCCTCCTGGTGGCTTCAGGGAATGTTCCGCCATGTTCCTCTCATCATGGGCTGCAGTGAAGCTTCTGCTCAGGCACCTACTTCTCCTTCCTCCTCACCAACCACCAGCACCCTCTGCCTCTCCAGCTCTGCTCTTCCAGCTGCTGGCTCTGCTCAGCTCTCATCTCAGTTCCTTCATATGTTAATGGCAGAGGTGCATCTGTTGTCCCTCTAATGGATTTTTGGAGCAGGGGGAGCTTCTCACCTTCTTACCAGAGCCCCTCCTGCAGTCCTTCCCTGCTACCAAAAACCCCACCAAACCAGAACAGTGCAAATCTCTCCACTTCATAGCTCGGTCTAAACACTTTGGAAAAATTCACTGTGTGGCATCAATAAAGCATTGCCTTTACTAAGTGTTTAGTGTCTTGAGACTGGGAATGGCTGAACATGGGACAGCCACAGGGGATTGAATGGGGGCTTGTCATTCCCCCCACCTTTTACTAAAGTGTGAAGTTAAACATACGTTCAATTCTGCAAGTGATCTCTTTTTTTTTTCTTCTTCTTTTTTTTTTTTTTTTCCAAACAGGGTCTTTGT